TTTTTTTTTTAATTTGGTCGGTGACGACCTCCTCCTCTTTCTCCTTTCTTCGTCCTGAAAACCCTAAAATTTTATTTTTAATGAATACGAGTTGCTTGCTGGATGGAAAGAGTTGACTTCTTGATATGAATATGAGGGCTAATGGTATATATACGACAAAATCTCACATAATTGTGAATTATACGGTTCATCTGGATATGCGATTGTTATAGTATATATAATTTTGTGAGTTGTGGGGTGCAAAAGAAATATTTTAATGGAACAGTATAAAACTGTATGTATATAAACAACAAAATCTAGCATAACTATTGTTAATTATGCGGTTTATTTGGATACACTATTATTATACTGCATGTAATTTAGTGAGTTGTGGGGTGCAAAACAAATATTGTAATGAAACAATGTAAAAGAGACTGCATTTATATATCATTATATAAAAAGAATAACCTTTTTATGATTTCCCGCCAAAATCATTTAATGAATAAATGCGGCGCTGGTTTTTCCGATGGTTCCCTTTTTCCTATTTTATAGGTTAACAAAATAACATATTGTGTTGATATTATATAAAAATCTATCATTACAAAATCATATTAAAAAATAATTGATAGCTTATAAAATCTCATAGCATAAATCTATAGGAATTTATCTCTTATTTGTTACAAAATCTCATTGCATACTTATCTTTATCTATCAGATTTAAAGAAAAAATAAAATAAAATAGAAACTAATTCATAATTACTATTAGAAATCCATTATCTACTCTAAAAAGCTAATTTTCATCGTTCTAATTACTAATATATTTACAAATATTATAAGCTAACAATATATCCTCGATAACAACGTAAAAAGTATAATAATAATTTTAAAATTTTGTGTAATCAAATTTTTTTAGATAGAAGTAGCGCCATAAATTCGGTACCATCTGACCTAATGTGTTTATTGAATTAGGCTTATAATATTTTAGGTACTTTTTTTTTTTTCGAAACGATAGAGATAATATAGAAGAGCACAAAAGTGCAAAAGACAATACAAGACCCCAACGGGGTAATCCTAAGGCCCCAACAGGGTAATGAGACAGAGGCCAAAGGCCCAAACAAAAAACACAGCTAAAAACCAACAAGACAAGCAGACTGA